GTCACAGGGTTCTGATCAAGCACCTGTGCCGTCGCCGATGTCTGCGTTTTCACCTGCGCGCAGGCAGAATGTCAGCGTCTCTTGGCTTAGAGGGAGAATACTGCAGCCGTACAAACCCACTCAACGAGAATGGCAGCGCTCTCCACTGCTAGTACACCCCATCAGGCAGAGTCTTGCTCACCGGAATCTGTGCGGAATTCGTCAATCACCGCTCCGTTTGTTGTATCCACCCTGCACAGAAGAAGTTGCAACGAATATTCCGAATGAGTGCAACTCGTAGTGCCGGCGTGGCTAAGTACAAACTGTGCAGAGCCTGCAGGGCTCAAGCAGGTGTTGTTTGCAGGCAAACTCAGGCAGTTTTCTGCAGAATACACACAAGTCGCCAGTCGGGTCTAGCATTTCGTTGATCAACCACGAGCTGTCGTCTGCAGCCCCAGAAGATATTTCCTCACATGAGAGTGCGGGCGCCTTCTTTTTGGTCGATCATAAGAAACACCGCACGGCTAGGAAATGCATCCATCAAGGGGTTAGGCTGGGGCTGAGAAGCATCTGCAGCTGCGATACGAAGCAACTCTTCAGCCTCTGTATCGGAGTCCGAGCTTTCAGAAGAACTGAGCTCAGACCCTCCGTCTTCCACCAACGGCGGCTCCAGCTCTACTACATTCTTCTCAGTCACCTTCTCCCCACTTGAATCAGCAGAAGTGTTACTAGCACTCAGGGGGTCCCCGCTTTTTCCCTTTTGACGCCCGCTGGAGACGCCACCGCCACTACCGGCAGGAGTTGAAGCGATTGAGGAACCAAGAGCAGCGTCTTCTGTGTGATTTTCCAAAGCCAAACTTCCATCTGAAGAGTTTGTGTCCTTGTTGCGCGGCGTCCCTTCAGCAGACAAATTCTTCTGGGGGTTGTCGTTGGTGTGAGGACTCGGAGTAGCGCCTGCTCGATCAGTTGACTTTTCTTCCTTTTCAGCTGCGGCTGCATTGCTTGTTTCCGTGGGAGGCTCAACCTCCTGTGGGTTCATGCTGGAGTTGTTGTCAGAAGTCGCGGACGTATTCGCATCCTGCTCAGAAGCCTGTGCAGGCTGCGTCGCTTCCG